CTTACGAACATCATTCTCAGAAATCAAAACAGAGAAGGCTGAGTAGTTTTTCGGGAGATGCCATGTATACTGCGTGTAGGCAGAAGCCGGGTGGAAAAAGACAGGTATACAACCAGCCAACATAGCATCAAAAGCCGACCTCCTTGTATATGAATCTCCCTGAGGCTGCAGGCAGAAAAGGGAGCTCTGAAACATCTGCATTATACTGCCGGGAGAATGACATTTGCTCTCCGCTGTTTGACCACATTCCAATAACTTGCAGACTTTAGATTCCTTGCATTGGTTAATGATCTGCCCCCTGATCGATTTAGAGTTTCCGGGACGTGGTGCACCAGCAAAACAGAAAAGCCACTTCCTCTCCAGCTTCCTCATCCGGTCCTGCCAACTGAACACTTCTGCATCCTTTGCTGGATGGAAATATGTCGGATATGGGATACCAAAATCATTTGCGTTCCATGGGCTTGATTCAACAACGAGCATCGACATATTCTTTGCAGCGGGTAAGAAAAGAAGCTTGTTGCCCCAGTCCGAATTTGAATCGCTCAATCTTCTGAAATCCCATGTTATCCTACCAGCTACAAGAAAGTGATCTTTTCCCCCCATGATACTCCACTCTGGCCTCTTTTGTAGCCAATCAACCAAATCAAGAGAAGCAGCATCCCTCATAGATATATTGTAACCCCAAAGATACCTAGCAATGTCAAAACCTGCGTAAAAAGGCACAAAAATAGCAGCAGCCAGGGAGGAATCGTTCGTGAGGCACTCGTACTGTTTCATCCGGTTGCCAAAAATGACATCCACCGCAAACTGATTGGTTGCATACCAACCAGTATTGGAGAACACACCTTCAGCATTCTCCATTTGTGGGCCAAGCCCAGCATTAGTGGTAAACTTACACATATTGGTCCAAAGACTAAGACTTTTACACTCCTTAAGCATATCTTCATTGAATCTTGGAGGAAGGTCGTGCACATAAATGTACCTTCCACCACAGGGATCGCTTTTATTCTCTACAGTTCTCAATGCTCTCATAAAAGGGTAACTCTCAGCAGGATCACGACGAGAATTATTAGGTGGTTGTGCATTGCTCAAGGATGCATTGGGACGTGCTAACTCACGATGAATTTCAATCTTAGCACGACGAAGCTTGATAGGACGATTAATGGGAACATATTGAGGGGTACTGATTGATTGCGAATTGAGAGAAAGTGGATCCAAACTAGGTGAATTGTGTGCATGATTATCCCCAAGAACCACAAAATGGAAATACAACAACAAGAACCAAAACAAACCTGATAATGAAGCTAATAACCAAACCCTAGGGTGATGATTTTTGCCTTGTCCCTTCTCCATTGAATCATCTGAAGATTGGGACGTGGGGGACCGGCGCCTCATCAGATTATATTATATTATATTATATTATACTCACATAAAACACCAAAATTCAACCTTTTATCTCATAAATGATGAAAAAGGCAGAATCTTTACTACCACCCTAAAACCCCACTTCAGAAAATCTCAAGAATCAACTAAAATGGTGCTAAATCTCAAGCACAACAACAACCCTAAAACCCAAGTTCAAAAAACACCCAAAAAAACTAAAGAATAAAAAACTAAAATAGTGCTATATTTCCCAAGAAAAAAAAAGGGACTAGTAGTAGTCATAAACTTATCAGAGAGAGAAATCAGTGAATTGCGGGGGGTTTAGCACGTCAACAGATGGAGAAAATCAAGATGTAAAAGGGACTTAACTGAAATATGAAGCGAATCTTCAGGGAAAGAAACAAACAGTTTTAGAGCTTTATATATATATTCCAACTTAGGGAAAATTTTACCTAAACTAGCAGCAAAATTAGAAGGGAAGCATGAAGCCAAAACTTATAAGGGTAAAGAAGAAAATGAAAATGAGGGCTAGAAAAATAAAAACGCTTTTTGGGGGGCCATTAACTGTTATAGTATCGAGGAAAATGATGGAAGTACTAAGATGTTTCGTGTCTCATGTCTGTTTCCAAACATTATTTGCTGTGTCGGTGACCACTTTAACAAATTTTATGACAGGTGTCTTACAATGGACGAAAAAGAGAAGATAGTTAACATCAATATTAAGCAAATATTGTGACACCATTTAGGTTGGTGATTTAATTAGTCTTGCTAGGTGAAAAATAATAAATTAGTCTTTTTACACGTGTATTCTGTGATTGGTGAAGGCTGCTTTCATGGGTCCTTAATGTCGATTAATTAAAGCCGGCGCTAGTTGTAAATTTTTAGTAGTATTTCTTAACTATATTTAAAAGCCTGGACTGGATTAGTTTAATCTAATTTTGGAATATGTTTAACTATATTTAAAAGCTCGCACAATGATTAGTATTCTTGTACTTAATTCCTTGTCTTTTTTCCTTATCAGGTGTCCCCGATTGGATTTTTTAATTAATTGATTGGTAGTGACATGATTATTAATTAATACTTGGTCAATGTCAACAGTTGACTGGTCTGAAAGAAATAAGAGTATAAATATGTTGCTATTCATCATGGAATGGCCTATTGACTACGACTGTCATAAATCAAGTTGAAATGCCTTGTCTTGACTTCATAATTGAAAGCTCAAGTTCAAATTAGGAAAAACATACAGGTGCATGTTACTTGCATTAAATCACATAAATTTACTATGTATGAGTAACAAAGTAGAGAAGATTATATATATCGTCAAACATTTCTATAATATTCTCGTTTGTTCCAAATATTTTTTGGATGTTATAGTAAAGTGTTGTTACAGATAACATATATTATAACATAACATAAAATTTGGTTCCGAAAAAACTTGACTTTTATAGAGAAGTGTTATTGTACAGGGATGTTGTTATAGAAATGTCTGAATGTATTACTTAACCATAATTTAGTAATAATGTACTGAAGCCCCTATTTGAAGGGGAAAAAATTTGATTAGTGCATTAAAAAGCAGGATAGTAGAGCAACTAGAATTACTTGATCTTATACTAGTTTGTTTTATTTTCTGATTTTGTCGTCTTACATCAAGCGCTATGTGGACCACGACTGTGCAGTGCATTAGGAAAGCCGCGAGAGAAGTATTAGGGGGTCTCAAAGTCTTGCTCTGGTGGTTACAAGGGAGACTGGCGATGGAATGAAGAAGTACAACGAAAAGTGGAAACTAAGAAAGCAGTGTATCTGAAGCTAGTGAAAGTGTATATGAGGAGGAGAAGAGGGCGAATAGGGAGCATTATCAGTTGGCTAAGTAAGAGGCAAAACTAGCAGTTACGGTGGCCAAAACTGCAGCTTTTCGTCGTTTGTATGAGGAACTCAAGGGCCGAGGTGGGGATAAGAGGTTGTTCAGGTTAGCCAAGGCGCGAGAAAGATGGCAGACCTACTTCCATAGTCTCTTGAACAAGGAGGGGGACAGGAGCATTGTCCTGGGTGATCGGGAGTCGCTGTGACTTTGGGTATTTTAGGCGGATTAGAGTTGATGAAGTTGAGGAGGCTATGCGTAAGATAAGCAGAGGCAAAGCGACCAGGTCGGATGAAATCCTGGTGGAGTTTTAGAAGAGTGCGGGCAAGGCATGCTTGGAGTGGCTCATTAGGTTATTTAATATCATTTTTAGCATGAAGAAGATGTCCAAAGAGTGGAGGTGGAGCATGATGGTTTCTGTATACAAGAACAATGGTGATATCCAAAATTGCAATAACTATCGGGGTATCAAGTTGCTTAGCCATACTATGAAAGTTTGGGAGAGAGTGGTAGAGCTAAGGGTGAGAAGGAGTGTGTCTATTTTCGAGAACCAATTTGGGTTTATGCCGGGGCGTTCGACTACAGAAGCCATCCACCTTGTTAGGAGATTG